CATGTTTTCATGTGATCTGAGGGTAATTGAGACCAGTTCCAGAGCATCGATTAACACATCACTAAAGATCAACATAATAAAATGACTTGTTCGGAATAAAGTTGCACATTATTTAAATAGAATTCGATAAGTCTTAATTTCATTTGCTCCATTGTATTGTGTGAGGTTCGAACATTGTTTGGGTATGGATAACCTTGAGCTAACCTCGAAGTAGACAAAAGACCATTCTTTATTATCGCTATTGGTGGAATTTGATATGCTATGGACGTAACGTATTCCCTAGTTTGAATTTCATTTATAACTAACAACAGGAGACCGCTGTATTGATGTATTTGGGAATTAGCGTTTGGTCATGACATTGATAACCTTGTGTTCATATTGCGTGTTCCACAAGTGGACTGAATTCTGGTTTAAGTGTCTGATCAAGAAGTAGTATGACAATGTACGTGCTTTTTCACATTATTTTCACATTTTCACATCAAAAGCATACGTATACACTGATGATGTAATCGCACCGAAACACTTTCGAAACAACTTAAGGCTTCACATATCAAATAACAAAGATGTATCCATCTAGCATTGATTTTTTTTTCTTCAGAAAACAAAGAAGAGTCTGTGGGAAGATTTTGTTACCAATATATATGACGTAGTAGTTTTTCAGGGCAAACAACGAAAATATAGAAAACATGCATGTACTGTGCATTGATCCAAAAAATACAAGTATTGTACGTATGTAAATTCCGGCAACATTGAAAAACAGGTATAATCGGAGAAATATTGTAGTATATTTTTTTAATGTAAATACTCTATTAGGCATGTAATAGCAATAAAAAAAAAAAAGGTGATTTGAGCATTTAAAAAGAATCGAGGACCAAACCAAAATTCCAAACTCTTTAAATCGCACATTTTGCTTATTCATTTTGATATAAGAAACCAAGTTTTCCAAATGATGACAGCTACGAAATCAATTCAAGTTCAGATAGTACAACTTGACCAGGTAATAGAAGTGGTCAGGCATTTAACCTACGACCCTCTCTACAAAAAGGATGATATAATCCAAATAACGGCAACCACAGTACCAAGGGCCAGAGTTGAAATCGCTTCGCTTGCTGCCATTATTCAATACTCTTGCGATATCGTTTTGTCAAACATCGTACATGACGTAATCATTGACTTTTCGCGTATCAGAATTCCATTCTCTTGGCCTAATAAATCTATTCGAGAAATTCTTTTTGCTAAACATGATAGCCCGGTAGCTCTCGAGTTGGTCAGTAGAGATTGTCGTCTAGCTCTGTTCAGAAAAAACGACCATAACCGCCGAGACGATTGGTACGATCAGATAAAAAATTGGAGGAACGACCTACCAAATCGTTTTCATCTTATGTTGAACGAATTGGTCGAGAATGTATCAGCTCACGCAAATTTAGAAGAATCAAGATTTTGCTTTACAACAGGCCTACTGTTCGCTCATAAAAAGGTAAGGCATTAGTAACACAACAGCTTATCTTACAGATTATATGACTGGATTTCCTATTTATTAATGATAACAATGCTATGTAGCTTTACTATGTCGTTGCTGATAGTGGTATTGGACTTCGAGGATCACTTCGAGATGCAATTGTTTCGGAGGCCAAAGAAGTATCATCAAGAGCATGCGCACTACATTTAACACGCCCGCAATTTACCTCCAAAGGCATCGTAAGGGGTCATCAAGGAGTTGGTCTTTTTATCACCAGTGAATTAGCACAGATGAACAAAGGTTATCTTGAGATCCTTTCTGGTCCTCAAGAATATGAACAACGCGGTAGGTTTTTTCATTCGTTCGCGTGTTACTTTCACGTGATGCTGCTCTCTTACATATGATTAATATTTTTGACAGACAATACGGTGATGCGTGTGAGAGGCATTGCTGAGTGGAAAGGAACAATGGTACACGGCGCGATCAATCTTGATCAAGAATTCAACTACCGCCATGCCATGAATTTATTTGCCGATCCCTCAAAACTTTCCAACGATCGTTTCCTTGTGTGCCAAATTCACTTGAATGTTTATGGTCAAAGTACCCTTCGCACCCGTGAACTTTGTGAAGAGATAATCCGCGACCTTGAACTTGCGGCCGAAAGGTCACGAAAAATTATTTTGGATTTTACGGGCATAGAAGAAATCAGTCAAGCTTTTCGTGGTTTTCTGAGACAATTTGTCGTAAAGAATTCAAAGATACAGATCATGATCTTGGTACCTCCGCATGCTGATGACGAACTCAAAGAAGATTTGCAGGAGCTGGTTGAGCTGGCCGCCCAAAATATGAATGAGGATGATTAGAAGCATGATAAAGACCACTATATCTTAATTTTGCATTATACATTATAGATGTCGGTTTTTGCATTCTTCCATTAATTACGGCGCGAGATTTTTGATTAATTTATCGTATGTTTAAACTTTGAACGTCATAATTATGATTTATTTATTTACTTATAATCATAAAAATAGAACTAGTAATTCACAAAAGTATATTAATAAGTATATTTATTCATTTTTATTACCAAAATAAAAAAATTTTTTGAGACGCGTATATTATATTTCATAAATCACTACTACACATGATTTTTTTTTTTAGAATAGTCATTTTGACATTCACAGATATATAGTATAACATATAATAAATTGTAATTTACAAAAAATTAAAATATATATTTAAACAATTTAAAAATTTAAAAATTTTTATGTTACATTTCCTATTTTTTAAATATTGATTAGCTCTATTTTCTTGTCTCCTATATATTAAAACAAGTCTGTCTTGTTGAACAAAGTGAATTTCAACTATCTCCTTTCTTTTTTCTTGGTTTTCCAACAGTTTTCTTGAAAAAAACAAAGATTTACTCTTTTAAAAAATTAGCATGGCTATTATATTATTTTAATATATTTTTTTATAAGTAAATATTAGAATTTTGAATCAATATCAAAATAATATCAAAATAGTATCAACCTATAATTTACATTATTAAACTTATAATAAATTCAATACTGATTTGATATTAAAATAATATTATTCTAAACTTTAATAAATATTATTATTTTACTAATTGTAAAAATATATAGAATTTTATATTTTATACAATATAATAAATCAATAAATTTAATTCTGGTTTGCCTATATAATTTATTCAAACAATAAAAAAATAAATATTAAAATCCATATATAATATATTAAGGATAATATTGAATAGTTATAAATATTTATTTAAAATTATTTAAGATATTATATAATAAGAAATTAAAATTATCATATATGAATTTATTTATAATAAAAGTTAAAAAAAAAGTTAAAAATTTTTAAAAAAGGTTTTTTTATAATATTAATTTTATATTAAATTTTAATTATAAGGTTTGATAAAAGTTTCTATATAATTAATAAAAAGCTTGGTTTTATATAATTTCTGTAATAAAAAATATATTAATCATGTTATATTTATTTTTCAAATAAAATAATTATAAAAAAAAAAATTTTTCAAAATTATTTTTATATATTTAATACTATCTATTAGTATAAAAATTTTATAAGTAATCTAGCAAATTATTAATTGTTTAATTTGTTTTATTAATACAAATTATATATTAATATATATTAATATATATTTTTATTTATCTTAAATCAATAATAACTTTTTATAATAATATTTATATTATAATATTTTTTTAAAATATAATTTCTCAAAAATCTTATTTTTGAAATAATTAATTAATAGTTTTTTTTTAAATAAATATAATTAATATTTTAATTTAAATATTTAATACAAATTATAATTTTTTTTATAATTTCAATAAAGTTTTTTAAAATAATTAAAATCTTAATAAAGTATTTATTATTAATAAATTTGATATTTCATAAAAAAATTTGTTTTTCAATTATTATTATTTTGATCTTGATAACAGGTTTTTTATATTTATAAATAAAGTAAATTATTTTATTATATTTAAAATATTGAATTTTTTTTTTTAATAAAAATAATTTATTTCTAATTTAATTTAATTTTATTTTATTAATACAAATTTTTTATAATCTTTTGATAATTGTTTTATTTAAGATAAATAAATCTTTATTACTAATTATTCTAGTTTAAATATAATAGTATTATAGCATAATACAATAAGCAACTTGATTTAAAAATTCTATATTATCAATTTAATATATTATTTCTAAATCAAAAACTATATTCTTATATAATTTCAATTTAATATAGGATTTTGAACTAAATATAGAAATATTAATAATAATATAGAAATAAGAAAATTTGTAAAAACTTTTAACAAAATTATTATAAAAACCATATATAAATTTAATAATATTTTTTTAATTTTGTAAAAATATAATAAAATATTTTGAATTTATTATTTGCTTTTTGTATATATAGGATATTTTTTATTTGATATAATCAAAACTTTTATATTTTTTTAATTTTTTCTTCAAATATAAATATTTTAAATTTTTTTTTGATATATATAATTTTTATTTTAAAAATATTTTATATATTTTAATTATTCTTAAAAAAAAAAAAAATTAATCAATTATAAAATTTATTAATTTTATGTTTTATTCAAATAATAATTTTTAATATTTGACAAGTAATTAAATTAGTATATAAAATGATAGTTAAAATTTTCTTTATATCAATATTAATAATTGAACTAAAATATTTTATAAAGGCTTAATTTTTTATTTACAATTTTATTTAAAAATCACAATATAATATAACAAATACTTTACTATTTACAAGTATTAAATAAAACACAAATTATATTTAAAATAATTTTAAACAAAATTAGATTCAACTTTTATAACATTACTAATTAATATTTTTTTTAAAATAATATTTTAATTGATTTTTTTATTTTATTACCAAAATATTTATTTAAAGTAATCTCAATTACTTTTATATATTTTCGATTTTATCTTTAACCATTTTAATTTATATCCTTGGACATATACTTTCTTCGATAAAATCAAATCAAAATATTTGAATAGAAATTTGTAATTAAATCAAAATTGGTTACTATTGTGACTTAAAGAAGAGTTGTAATATAAAGGTTGTGTTTTTTGGTTTCATATCCAAAGAATTCAGAATAATAATTTTTGTTATTTGTGTTTAATATTCTACCACTATTTCATTAGACTTAAACATTTAAACTGTCAATTTCTTGATAATTTTTATGCAATGATTCAGAAATCACTTTCATTTAATATTTCAAAGGCATTCTTTCCAATTGACTGTGCACTAACGGTCATTTGATCGCCCAAACCACTTCTCCATAAAACATTGTATATAATGTTAAACTAAATGTATTCTACTTTTCTCTAATAGACAAGAAATTTTTAAAATAAAAGGGTTATTCAACAAACGTTCGGAGTGAGATACAGTATATGCACCAGGATGGTTTCTTAATGTTGCACATCCCATAGTGGCTCTTGTTTTTAGAAAGGAATTGAAATTTCCACGAGATATTGTATAAACTCAGTTTTACTTAGATATTCCAGCCAACAACTCACAATAACTTTGCTTTCTTCCATTCATGAAGTTTACTTTTATAATAGAGATTTGATTAACGATCCTTAATCTCATTATATTCATCCAAGATATATAAATACGAACTTACAGTTTAAGTTTTCAATAATTACCTTAGAAAAGCCTATCTCTTCTCAATACATTCGAATTGTTTACTCGTCAGGATGAAATAAATAAGGGGATATCCTCATTGTTTCCCTTCCATTAACGTCGAACAAGGTAACAGTTGAAAGTAGACTTTCCCATACAAGCTCAATGCATCCTTAATCTCTTTGTCCTGTTCAAGTTCACTTAAATATTCTTCTTTTAACTATGTCTAACTGCGCCAGCGGTTCTGTGACATTTGACACCAAAGCGTACGATTATTTAAGGTTTATTTAAAAATTCAGAATCGACACATTAAACTTTCTGACGGAGCATTATATGTGGCACGCATATGGAAGAATTGTGTGTATATTCACTCGGAGCTACTTTATAATAATCGCCTTTTTTTAATATTTAGTGTCTTCGTCTGCTAACTGTTGCAAGATTGCAAAGACAGTACTCATTATTGACTTTCTGAATGTTCGCACCACTGGATTTCATTTTTATAAAGATTCCCTAAAACCCAAATGCTTCTTATATCTTTAATCTCGTTGTATGCAGGCTATGTGCCATAGCATCGATACAGGTCTATTGATAGCTATTTTGTCCTTCTTGTCATGACTAACGATTAAACTGTTGTTTAGTTTATTCAATTAATTTTCTTGAAGTAAAATACTAGAAATAGTATAGAAAGATGCCACTGTCTTGTCTATTTAAAATTTTTAAAGGGATTTAGTATTTTTTGCATGGGTTTAAATATCTAAACACGCTAACCAAATTAATAGTTCCTTTAGTTATTTTAAAAGTTCAACGAATAACTTATTCCATAAACTTCATCATTTGGAATATGCAACAATGCCTAAGAAGTGTACTGGGTAAAGCTGTTGACATAATAGTGCGTGTAGTTTCACGCGAAAAATACCTTTAATTCCTACTCGAACCATGGTATCTAACAACGGACAGATTGTTTGCAATAGTTTTCTTAGTTGGATTCAGTCTTGCTTATGTAGTTCTTCAAAATTGGTACGTAATATTTTTAATATTTTAACTAAATTCCCTGATAATTGAGACGGGCGTGTTTTGAATCTGGGATAAACAACCAGATGTTCAGAACGTCATAATGTGAATTCTTTAATTCTCTTAATACTTAGCTCTAATAGATTCTCATAAATTTCTTATTCGCAATGGATGCCAAGACAATAGCTTCACAGATCATCTCTCTTGTTTTGGGTTTTTTCTGAGCAAACAGTTCAATAACTTTTAGAGCCAATTTTATTAGCTGTGGTGTTTGTTCTTGGGTATGGTTGGTAGGTTGTAAGTAATAAGCCAAATCCCGGATGCTGTCTTGGAATGCGGCTCGGATATTACCTACTGATCTTAAGTAAAAACTGTGTCGTTTTCTCTATTAAAGAGTTTGACGATACACTTGGACTGGTAGAAGAGTTCTCTATAAGTGTTCTTTTTGTTCGCAAGGGTTTTTATGCTTTGGCTTTGGCCAATGATTTGCCACACTTCAGTCCATACTTTGTAGTAAGCATCCACATTATTTATTTCTCCCAAACCTTTGTAGACATACTACATTCTAAATAAGCTTGGGATTTAGCACTTTCTTCAAATGCCATCTGATTATTGTTTCTAGTATTTGCTAGGTCGTTGTTATTTGAGGAAAATGTAAGT